ATGTTAAAGATATTTGTAATTTAGGCACATAGGTCAGATTAAGTTTTTATTAAATAGAGTAACGCATGCAAGGGATATCTGCCTAAAGAGAGAGATGCCATCGTGGAGGAATTTTTGAAGAAAAACTGACCTTTGAGTGGGTATTAAAAATATTACTTATAATTTTCATTCAAATTATATTCATATATATTTTTATGTAAAACTTTCGGGCGTATGCTAAATTAGTGTAAATTACTTTACACGAAAAATATAGTGAATGCACAGAAATTAAAGATTTGCACATGCCGGAAATGATAAATAGGAAATATGTATGGGTATTTATGCATGTGCTTGCAAAAAGCATATATCTGCCTTTGACAAAATACTTAAATATTCATTAAATTATTTATAAATGTATTTGAAATGAAGAAATTTATTCACTTATAAACAACTGTGAAAGTACTGTGAAGAAATCTAATGATTAAATGTATCTAATTTATAATGATTATAAATGTTATCTAATATATAATAACCTTAATATTGAATTGTAAACATAAATTGAAATCCTGTTGACAAATAGGTTATAAAACTATTTAAGCAAGAATTGTTCGTATTGGAAAGCAATCTGTTAAAAGGTATTGTAAAGCAAATGCTATGAGATGCGCACTTAAGAACGTAATAAAGAGTTTTAGAATATGTATTGTTGTTGAAATGAAGGGTAAAAAAAAAAAAAAAAAAGTATAATTAAAAGAATTATTCCCTTTACATTTTATAATAACTCAGTTACAAGTTTTAAATAATAATAATAAAAAAAAAAAAAAACTTTATTTTATTCCCTTTTAGAAATGTTCAGAGAAAGTCAAATACTATTTAATACCTATTAATTTAGGAATTAGCGAAATACTAATAATTCTCTAATTTAAAATGAACCAAATAGAACATAAATTATAATTTGACTTGCATTTTTTTCGATTTAAAAGATGCCTCAGAAGCCAAAAAATCATGTCATATTTAAGAAGTATTTTAGGAAGAAGCTCTATAAATAGAAAAAGAAATAATGCATAATTTTAATATTAATAATACAATAAACTTTGATCTTAATTTTTGTACCTTAACCGAATAAAATCGAATTACCTTTTTTTTTTTTCTAATGTAATTAACGAAAACTTGTGAAAATATTTCATTCAAATTAAACCATTCTGAGAAAACTGTCCTGTGAAATGTATAGCATTTAATTCCGTTCAGAATGAAATGTTGTTTTCACATACTTAGGACTCTGAAGTGTTGTAGAAAAAGAAAATATATACATTTATATGTATATTTGCAACGTAATTACAAAATATTTACAACCGAACGCGTCAAATCCCATAGAACTCAATGGTAAATGACCCAATGTTTTGGTCACCACGTAGGGATCGCCGGTGCTTCAGAGCACGGTACGGAGAAACTTGTTTAGGGCGACTCCATCTTACTTCCTACCTCCATGGATTTCTTCCTTGCAATGGTAAGTTCAGTTCATTAAGATGGCTTGTTATATCAACAACAAAAGCTAAATCCATCAACCAAACAGTTCAATGTACACTTTATCATTTGATTCCAAAATTTTTTACCTCTTGTAGTAGGTCCTTGAACATTTGTAAAATTGTACTCTGACTGCATTTGCATGATATAATAATTAACATAATCAGATTCTTTCTTTCTACTTGGGTCCGAAACATTCTGCTCTGAAGACTTCTTCCTCAAATTGAGTTGACACTTTTCATGAAAATTCCCATAACATGATGCATATTTAGAATTTCTGATACACGTAGCCAAAAATCCATTGATTGTGCCAGTCATTGATGGGGCCTCATACAGTTGTCATCAATACAGATTTATAAACTAATTTTTTCCTCCTCTATGTGTTTTGTGAAGGTACAGTAAACATCTTAACTTTGTGTTTTCTTCTTTAGAGGTAATATTTGTTAATAATTCTTCTTTTACACTCATATCCTTAAAAACCATTCTTATAGAAATGCAAAGTTGAGAAATATCAACCATGTCTATAGATTCATCAAACTGCAAGGAAAAGCAAATACAGTTAGTAATATCTTTGGTCAGCTGAACCAGGATTCGCCATTTCCATACAGCGCATGACAGTTCTACACGAAAGATGTATACTTTAAATTCAGACATTTTTTGTTCTTGAATGATAATGAAACACTGGCTTCCAGAAATGACTTTTTTATCATTTCATCTAAAAAAGGGCTTCTTATGTTTTGCTAACATGTGAATCACACGAAAATTGTAGCCGAAGCTGTTGTAGCCTTAGATATAACATTGGGTTTAATAAAATAAATGAATATTGTCACATTAATTGTGATATAAATACATAAGATATGTTTACACATTCATTTTATTATGGAAAATCTGTATCAAAACTTCCATACATGCTTTTGAAATGCCTTTCAATGTTTCCTTTTTTTTTTTTGTTTTGTTTTTTTTTTTTAAGCGCTAGCACACTTGCATGTATGTCATGCTTTAAAGAATTATTAAAGAGCTTATTGTAAAGAAAAACTGTTCTTTCCATTCTGTATTAAAATTGTATGTTTTTCTTTTCTTAACACTTGTTCTTGACATTGTACCACTCTTTTAAAATATGACAGATTACTATTTTTACTACAAAAACAAAAGTAACACAAAATTGTCAAGTTGAATATTTGAAGAATTTAGTGACTGCAGACCATGGAACATGGACATAATCAACGCAGCGAGCATACATGAACTGATGAATTTGTAAGCAAAATATGTCCTTAAGAGTCATCGTGGACTTCCAATGAAGGTAACATGTGTCATCTACACAATCAGCGAATCATTTGCTTAAGTAAACGCAGTTGCATCAATTGTGAAAATTCGATTCTCCAGTCTAGCTGGCATCAGTGTTCCATAAATATGTTTCTTTTAGTATGTATGCCTTAGGTCTTAGTAAAGGCGGTCTCCCAAAACGTGTTGGTGGTCCACCAGTCGATCACGATAGACTTAATGCTCACCCAATAATGCATACAATTAAATTGCAATAAGAAAATCAAACTGTTTCTAATAACTGAATTTTTGTACGTTATGAATTAATCAAATGACTTAAGGTTCAGTGTATCTTATGTGTATTTTGGTCTAGATTTTTATGCAAAAACAGTGCTGAGCTGATAGCATTTTAAGCACATTATTTTCAGTAACTAATTTAAAATTACTCTTTACAATGTTCTGTCCAACTCCCTTTGCATTTGTTCTTTCCCTAAAACTGTGGATGGACTACAAATAGAAAAAAGAATCTGTGGTTCTACTTATCAAAATACGGGCAAGACAAAATTCTTTCTGTGGATTAAAAGCTGTTTTTGTAATTCTAAAGATTATAACAACATTTTTCAAATTCCTTATACTCTTATTAAAATCAGTAGTCAGTTATACGATTATAAACAGATAAAAGCAGGAATTCATTACTTGATGATTTTCTAGCCAAATAAAATATTTTCAGAGCAGAGTATAAGCATTCTTCTCTCAGTGCAGAATTACAGCTATAAGAATGATTCATTTTTGCCTATAAACAGAAACATTAATTTAAAAACTTTAAAAATACTTGTCAGTTTATTTGAAATGTTTCTTTCTAATCTCAAACTCCTTTTTGCTTTTAAAATGATAGAATTATCTAGTTATGGCTTGAGCATTTCTGAATTCTAAATTGCGGATCCTACTGACACAAAGTTTGGTCACCTCTGATATGCTATTAAAAGGAACAACTATTCAAAATAGGTATCCCGACCTACATTAAGTAAATCCTGAGTACATTGTTTTAGGAAAAATATAGGATGGCTATATAACCCTCAGTTTTGGGGGAATTACTACTATGTTAGACATACAAAATTATCAAAACCATTATTTTTATAATTTTCTTTTTTATGTTGATTATTATCAATGTAATGAGACAAATACATATGCAAATTTAGTTCCTCTTCAGCGCTTTAATTTCAAAGTTCTGTATGTTATATCTCTACGTATACCCATCAACATGACGGGTTAGTTAGTTTCATAGTTAATCGTAATTTAAACCTTTTTTTTTTAATGAAATTATTTTTCTATTGAGAAATGTAAAAGTAATGGAAACTTAGATAACAAATGAAAATCACAATTCAGTGGAAATATCTAACTCCAAATCCAATATCAACCCACCGTTGTTTTCCAGATTAAGGGATACGTCACGTGTCAGTCGTACCTGCCTGAAGCATAAACATACAGCAATTGGCTCGAGATTAATGATGAAAAGTGTGCATAAAAAACTATACCGATGCCTTAAAATACACCTCTCAATAAAAACAATTCATGATTACTATTAGTGACAGTGAAGAACTTCATCAGTGACTTTAATATCCACATGAGAAAAAGCTTGCAATTCACAGACTTTCAAACAAACTTGTGTAATGAATTATACTCGTCTACAAAATGGTTAGTTTTGGTAACAATATGAAGGACGAGCAGTTCATCAAAAAATAATTCAAAAAAGATAAATGGGTTCGAAACATCCGTTATATCTTTCTTTACTCCTGGAACCTACTACAAAAAGTAAACGAAAACGGAGGACACAGAATAAAAAAAATATGTTTTACTCAAACAACACCCGCCAATACCGCGCAGTCATTACAGTCACACTCCTCTATCCATTCCAAAGCTTTGCGAATAATTTTACGAGTAGCAGTGCAAAACAAATGATGGTAGTTTTGGATATATATATATATGCCCGGGGCAGTTAACACATCAGCTGAGCAAGGCGTATATATATGCCCGTGGCAGTTAAGGGGTTAAAGCTTGATACAACCTGTTATTTCTAGTTAAATTACATATTTTTAGTATGCACCCTCTGAAAAAGGGACACTTCTACTTAAGGGACAAAATATTTGGTCCAGTGGGTGATACTTATTGGGAGGTACTACTATAATAGTGATTATAAAATATGCATGACTTAAATTAACTACAAGAAAATTAGCCAAACATTATGCAATAAAATTATTTTAATTGAAAATCTTAATAATTACAACTAGTAACAATTATACATTATATTTTCAATGACAGCGTATTGCTAGAATATTGGTCATTAGTATTTCTCAAAAGAGAAAAGGACTTATTTATATCTGTACATTCATTACACTGTACATAAAACAAGAAACAAAGAAACACATTATTTTATATTAACATTTTGAATTATTTATTGTTCCTTCAACTGTGAAACTGCCGATATGCTGCCATTCCAACAGCAACTGCCAATAAACTGCCTGTAAGCATACCCCATGTCTTTAACTAAAAATAGAAAAATACATTTCTTAGTAATTACATCTTAATAATTTCTTAGTAATTATTACTTAACATTGAAATCAATTCAAAATGCAAAATAGTGTTTTGGTATGTTGTAAAATCAGTTGCTTACAAAAGATTTATTTCAAAGCTTTTGTAAATTAATGATGTATCTAGGAATTGAAAGAGATTTATTGATTATAAATTAGTCTGTATGTTTAGTAATTTTAAATTCATTTACTATGGTGAGTCCAAGATCATAACAGCACATTCTCACTTTATTCTGAATGAATTAAAGCCTTTTAAGTAAAGGAGCTAGTGCAAGTTAAATAATTTAACATTTTAACAAAGGTGATGATAGTATGTAACTATAAGGTGAAGCTGCCAGAAGCTCCGACTCTAAAACATTCAAAACCTCAGCTTAAATACTTAACAACTAATTGGCATCTGGTGAGTATTATGGAAAAAAGTTAAAGGTTAAAATCATAATAACTGATTATTTAACATAAAATTTTACTTGGTCTTATAGCATTCATATGCCTTTGCAGGAAAAAATTAAATCATAATCATGACATAGCAGCAGAAAAAGGTACAATGGCAAAGTATTCCTAGCAGTCTGACAGTTTAGATTATATTATATATAATACTAGAAGAAATTTATTATTTGTATTAAATAATATTTTGTTAAATTCTCCCATGCAACTTTGTACAGTTTCATTCAAGCAACCTCTGTTGTACTATATCTCCCTCCTTACAAATCATATTTTCTTCATGCATTAACATGAGCATCTATTCATGGCATACACTGCACAACAATTTTAAAAAAAGCATTACATGACAATTTTTTCACAAGTAAATCATTTACCTTTGAAATTGTCTTGGACTTTTTGGGTTCACTTTGTGGAAACATTCTCTGGTACATTGCCTGTTCTTTTTGTTGCTCTTTTTTCTTTTGATTTTTTAGTCGTGTTAGTTCAGCCTGTATAATCTAAACAATAAACAACACATCAGAAAACAGTCTATGATGAAATTATCATAGCAAAGATAAACTAAACATTATGCTTAACCCATTAACGGTTTCACCCGTATTTTCTCGTTCTTTTATGCAGGTCTCTTAACAGTTTGTTACGGATTATTGTTAGCTTAAATGTATCCTCAAAAACGGACAGTCCCGTGTTTTTGTATCAGTGAAAAAATGCGCCAAAAAAATGCCCGTATTTTTGTATGTCTTCCAACCTCCAATGCCTAAGGGGACAAGGGTCCATGCAATCCTGACGACAATGGGTAATGGCTGTCATTAGCGTGGGGAGAAATCTTATCGATGTTTTGAGATAAAAGCCTTACACTGACTCTAAAGAAACAAATTTATTATCAGTTACAAAGTGGATGCATATATAAAGGGATTTAAGAATTTCCGTTTTAGAGCAGTTATTGAATAAAAAATAGAACTTTTAACAAAATGAACGTTTACCTATACAAGCATTAATGAATTAAAACGAGAAAAATAAAAGTAATAAATGCAAACATAAAAATCTGAAAATGCATATCTTTCAGATTTTACATTACGCCCAAAAGGGCGGTTTTTTAACGGTTTGTGGGTTACCTTTATTTTTAAATATCATGTTCTTCGTGTTTAAACCATAAAACTTCAGTTAAACAGCAATACCGCAAAATAAATTTTAAATGAGCATATCTTTAGAATTTCTGATACACAGTCTCGCCTGTTGGAGATAATTTTTTTATATTATTATTTTCATACAGTGTTGCCTTTGCTCGCTTAGGTACCGTTGTTTTATCACAATGCGAGAAATATACATACATTTATGCAGGTTTAACAGCTTTAAATAATATTAAAATTTTGTAGTTTAAATAATTTAAATAGATGAACATTTAGGCATTTGTGAATGGCAATATTTGAAACCAGACTCGAGTGCCTCGTGTGACTCTCGCACGAAGAATGTAATTTATTTTTAAAAGTTAGAATATGTTTTCTCTTCTTGTTTGTATGTCACCATTTTTGAGTGTTAAATAAAAGTGATTACTGTGTTCCATCATTGGAGTTGCTTCATATCGCCAAAGAAGTATCACACAGGTTATTCATTATTTAATTTCACGGCAGATAGCCCTTGAGTGCTTTGCCGTAATCTAATAAACCAAAACCATTATTTAATTTCTTTAAATATAATACAGGGCTGTAATATTTGGTAGCAACAGTTTGAAAAGTGAACTGACATAGTTTTCAATGCAAAATGCCAAAATGAAGTTAATAGACCTTCTCGGCTAACGCCCTTTGGGCTAAAAATAATGTATCATGTAATTTAATGGGAATACAAGGATTAAATAATTCTCTTTAAAAATTCTTCTACAAATTTATATCGCGAATAATAAAAACATGAGGCTCTCTTGATAAATTTATAAATCTTATACTTCTGACAATGCGATTCGAATATTTGATTTTGTAATTTAAGAACCTATTATTCTTGTTATAAAACTACACAGGAATTTTGCAAAGAGGCTATTAAGTAATCTCTTATTCCCATTAATCTACACGATAAATTATTTTTCTTCTTTTGCTTAAGTCTTATTTCCAGGTATCCTCTTACCTCAAATAATTGAAAAGATATATAAATTTAAAACAAAATTCGCCTTACCCGAAATCAGAAATTAGGTTACGAATTTCATGCAAATTTTATTTCGAAAGCTATTTTACGCTCTGTAAAATGCAAACAAAAATTTTGAGATTTTTAGTTTATTCTTTAAATGGAAATATGTGCAAACAATTTTGTCAACATTAAATTTTAAAAAACTCTAAATCGAATTTTATAAAACTCGCTTTAGCAGCTGTATTATCATCCATAAACGGTGTGTGTACAAAATTTGAACTCAATCAAGCTTATTTATGTTTCAATTTTTTATACAAAAGTAGTTCAAAAAATCGACGACGAGCTTTTGATTAAAGCGACAAACACAGTGATGAACTGAATACAATTTTTGGAACAGCTCTATTTTTAAACACTTTGGAAATATCGGTAAGTTGTTGATATAGCATAACCGTTATTTTAATAACAGTCTTGGCATTATGAAACGTGTAAGCGACATTCATAAGCGATTCCCAACAATTCTGTTCATTTGTCAAAGTGGCTGCTTTTGAAAATATTGTGAAGGTCATTCGATTTGCTCCACTATCTATAATACTCATTATCGATATTTAATTATGCTCTATTTCTATACAGAAATATTGGTAAAATTAAGAGAGGTCAAATATTTAATTATTTGAGTTATATAACTACTTATACTGTCTCAAGAAATTTTGTGTCATTTTGTAAAAATAATCTTTTCTTTAAAATTTCTTTTTCCCCCTACCCCCTATGCTTAATGACTTTATTACTATTCTGATGAATGGAAGGTTTGTAGAGACATTATACATTTTTTTTAACAGCAAGAGACATTCAAAATGAGGAATGCCCTACCCGGGACTCGAACCACGGACTTCTCGAATGCGCGCCGAGCGTACTGACACCACGAAGGCATGCTAAAAGGGCGGGAGAAAATACCGTATATACTCCCCCCTTTTAAAGGGCGACTGGGGATTAGGGGACCGAATCGCCAAATCCCTGCGGCGGAGAATCATCATCCACCACCTTTTTTGGTTTGGGCGCCACTATAGAAACATTAGGTTATTTCGAAGCAGGACATGTGAAATAGGAGCAATGCTTCGCCGGGACTCGAAACACAGACCTCTCGAATATACGCCGAGCGTGCTGACCATTACACCACGAAGGTATGCTAAGAAGGCGGGAGAAAATACCTTATAGGTTATGAAAACCAAAAGTTGAGTAGGTAGTTACAAATCTAACTAATAAATGCTCTACAAATACAACTTTTAATATTTTAGCAGAATTTTTGGAAACGTATTTATATAGATTGTTGTAGAAATCGACACAGTTTGATGCCAGTTTAGAGGAGGGGTTGTTTATGAGCGTATTAAAAATGCTTTTCCCACTCAAAGTGTTAACTACTTTAAAATAATAATTATAATCGCACTGAATCTGATGTTTTACAATTTTTTCCCTGAGATTTCTTTAAAAAGAAAGAATTACAATGTGTTTAATGCAGAAAATTTAATGGAATTGGCATCTGCGCAAGAGGACGGAAACTATCAGGGAGGACTTTCTAAGGGAAAACTAGATTTCCTTTTGATTTACCTTCACATTGAAATGCAGAAAACTTTCACCGAACAAGCGTGTTCACCAGGATTTGAACTTATGTAGAATTACCAGTACTCAGCGGTTTTTAGCGCTTGGCCACTGGGGCCCGCAGACCGATTAAAAATCTTGTTTAGAAACCTTTCATCTTGATTTAGTGTGACAGATGTGCCGTAGTTTGAAGGTTAGGATTACATGAATACAGCAAAACACACGGGACTATCTCCTTTAAGGAAAGGATGTTCGTAGAGACTTTTTAACGAGAAGTCTCATATTATGTTATAATAGGAAAAAAAGGAAAAACCCAGCCTCATTTTTTTGAAAAGCGAATAATTTCGAATGTTGCAGAAACAGAAAGATGCAGAGACATTGCATTTTTTTAAGAAATGCGAAAATTCAGCAGTGCCCTCATTGTGCTTCTAATAAGGAGGTCTTCCAAATTCTAGCTGGAAGGACTTCCATTTATAACAAGATAGTGAGAATGGCATAATTCCTTATTATTTGTTTTCATTTAAAGGGCGAGAGAGAAGAAGCACGAGGCACTGTCGGAATAATTCATGTGTTAACGAATTATCGTCTGACATGTTTTCGTTGGGGTGCCATTGAAGAGACATAGCGTTTTTACGAGGAAAAAAAAAAAAAAAAAACGAAAAATCCGTTATCCTATCAGCGGAATACGAACCACAGGCATTCCGACTGATAGTCCGATCTACTATCACTTACACCCCGAGTTCAAATTCTAGCTGGAAGAAGCTCCATTGAGCAATTTCCAGCTCAAAGAAGAATGAGATAATTTCTCATAATCAATACGGATATATAACTGATGATTCTAAAATTTTATTATCATTAAGACTGGAAAAAATACACGATTTAATTCATTTTCATACATTTTAAAAGAAGTTAAATTTTTCAGAGAGTTACTATAAAATATTTATTAGAATGTCAAATTTAAGCATTTCAATTATTTATATAATAAAGGATAAATTTTTATATTTATATAATAAAGAAAAATCGTTGATAATATCACTCTGATTTTAGTGGAGATATTTTAAGAAATAAATAAGTGAAAGCTGGAGGAAGAAAAACTATTTCAAGTTATATGTTTATCTTAAAAGTAACGAGAGAAAAACTATGTTAAAAGAAAAGGCACGCATATCGAAATTGTTTCCTGTACTGCTGACAAATTGTTATATGGCATGCATACTATAATGTTCATGAATAATTGATTGCTACTAGATTAATACAGGCATAGCATATTTCTATGGACTGATTTGCTGTAATTCCCAATTTGATTTTTACATACTTTTATATTTAGGACACTAATTACATCACACTGAAGATTACTCAATGCAATAATTCCATTGCAGTTTTATAGAAAATTATAAAATTTTCAGTTTCAATAAACAAATATATAATATTTCGATGACTCAGCAGGTAACATAATTTATTATCTTTCAAGTTTTTTTTTTTTTCGAAAACACCTCGGCAGATATAGAATCAGCCGCAGACTGTACTAACTTTAACAAGCGCAGTATCTGAGTGTTCACATTTCTGTTTATAACTGCAATAAGAACAAGTATAAGTTTGAAAAGTTTACCAATGGCTATGTGGATAAAAGAGATGATCATAAGTATTTTGACCTGGTTTTGGTTTCTGGTCAATACGTTGGCTGTAGGGAAGATTTCGTGATTTTTTCCATGTGAACTAGTTTTCTTTATAAATTCCTCTAAGTCTTTCGTTAAGTACATACAAAGTTGCTACATTAAACATTAGTAAGTGTTTACATAGGTAAACATTTTAAAAGCGAC